CGTGCTTTGCATTGGCAGCTGGAAGGGTGTCGTTAACATGCCGGGGTTTTGGCTCCCGCCCAGCACAGCACCAGCACTGTAACATTCCTCCGGGAAGGGGACCCAACCAGGCCAGCTGACCCAACCCAAACCAAAGGGATATTCCGTACCGTGTGACATCAGCTCAGACATAAAAGCTAAGGCAAGGAGCATTCCCTGTCTCCAGTGGCTGCCTGCTAAGGAACCTATGCGTGCTGAAGCCCTGCTTCTCGGGAAAGTGTCCGGACATCGCTGCTGATGGAAGTAGAGGATAAACGTTATTATTTTTGGCTTCGCTTTTGCACGTGCAAGCTTTCGCTCTGCTTTTGCCTCAATAAACTGCCTTATCCCAACCCACAAGTTGTTTTCCATCTTATTCTCCCTCTCCTCTACAGCTGGGGAGTGATAGAGCGGCTGGGTGGGTATCTGGCGTCCAGCCAAAGTCAACCCACCACAAATGCTTTCAAGCCGAATCAACACTAAGGGAGATATAACCCGTGAAACTGTCGCATAAAAGTGGCGCTTAAAAAGAAACCTCTAAGACTCCCATTTGTGAGTTTTAAAAGTCAAGACATTGGGTGCGTTGGTCATCGTTTAGCCAAAATGCACACCACACCGAGGTATCTCTGCTGCAGTTTATATGTCAACGTTACACAATTTCTCCTTTTTCCTTCCCCATGTTCCTGTTACATATGCATGACATTTCCCAACACCTATTATATATACATATCCTTGTAAGGTCTTGGAGGAGCTTCATCAGAGGTCTTTGCTGGTCTTCTCTGTCTCAAGCCCCCAGTGTTCTGAGTGACCACCTTAAGAACTTCTTCAAAACAATTCCCCTGGTTATGCAGGGGAATAGTGTACTGGGTAGTGCTTGGCTGGCTGCCTCAGTTCCCCTCCTCATTGTTTTTTCTTTTGCTTTGTTAGTCCCTTTAAAATATGTAAATATGTAAATATGTAAATTCTATGGTATGTTCCATTGCAAATACCATCAGTCCTTGTTACATCTCTAAACCCCGACATCAAAACAAAAGATAACAAGCTCTAAGTGATGTCCAGGTGTTGGAAAAAGAAATTACTCATCGGTGGAATTGCCTCGTTAAAGTTTAGGGCTTGACGTACTTCAGTGACCTCAGACCTAGGGGTGGGTTAACAAAGCTTGGGAGGAAGGATGTACCCCTAATATTGGGCACAAAGAATGCAGAATTTATGGGCTACAAGGGCAGCTGGCAGAACATCCAAGATAAGGAAGAAACTGGTAAACCCAACTCAGCAACTGTGCTGAAATCAGCTCCAATGGGGTACAAGGTAATTCCAGCAGGGGGAGATCTGCGACCACCAACTCACAGACCCAAGAGACCCACAGACCTAAAAGAAGAAAAATCTCAGCATGTGGAATAATGAGCATGAGCAGAGAGAGAATAATTGCCAGTGGAAGATAGAATACTAATTTATAAGAGAACTATATAACTTGTAGCCAATGAACACTAATTCCTTCATTTGCTGAAAATATGAATAGTTCAAAGTCTTGATAATTGGTGCGCTTGATTTGTAGACATCTCCATCTTGCACTGTGTGCAGAAGAAACAGCGTCACCTTTCTAAACCAGACTCTGTGTTTAGAGAGCTTCTAAAATGAGCAACAGTCATGGAATCATAGAATTGTCAAGGATGGAAGAGACCTTTAAGATCATCAAGTTCAACCCTCAGCCTGGCACTGCTGCTGTAACCCTTAAACCACTAAACCACATCACCCAGGCCAGAGCCAGATTCCTCTTAAACACCTCCAGGGATGATGTCTCCACCACCTCCCTGGGCAACCTATTCCAATGCCTGACCATCTGAACAGTGACCATTTTTTTCAGAAATCTAGTTTGAATCTCCCTTGTCTCAGCTTAAGGCCATTTCCTGTGGTCCTTCCACTGTAAGCTTGGCAGAAGAGACCAAGCCCCACCTCACTACAACCTCCCATCAGGGAGTTGCAGCAAGCAATGAAAACCCCGCTGAGCCTTCTCTTCTACAGGCTAAATACCCCTAGCTCACCCAGCTGTTCCTCATCAGACATGTTTTCTAGACCTTTCACGAGCCCTGTTGCCCTTCACTGGACTTGCTCCAGCACCTCAATGTCCTTTCTAAAGTGAGGGGCCCGGCACTGGACACAGGGACACAATGTGTGGCCCCACCAGTGCTGAGTTCAGGGAGACAATCACTGCCCTGGTCCTGCTGGCCACACTATACTTCATACAAGCCAGGATTCTATTGGCCTTCTCAGCCACCTGAGCACACACTGACTCATATTCAGCTGCTGTCACCAGCACCCCCAGGTCCCTTTGTGCCAAGCAGCTCTCGAGCCACTCCTCCGGCCTGTATTGTGGCCATGGTGGTGTGAGGCAGTTCCCTCAGCAGGGCAGGAGGGGGAAGGGGAGAAGTCTGGTATGTCAGTGGTGGTAAATGAGCAATTTGGCTTTTCAGTCATAATAAACCAGCACTTTGGCCTAGATCAAACTCCAGGCTCTCTCTGGAGGAAGAAGCCTCTGGCACGTCGCAGGTCTGTGTATGGTGTGTATGATAAACACACCTATATAAGCATCTAACTAATGCAGGTAATGTTTCTCAGGAATTTGGTGCCAAAAAGGCAGAATTGAAGCTGTCTAGTGATACCTTGTGTCTTTCCAGACCAGCAGCTCCAGCGAGGCAATTATTCTCCAACACTTGGAGAAGATGCATATGCTCGCATTGTAATGAACAGCAACTTGTCTGAATCTCTCCCATGTTACACATTAGCTGCCTTAAAGAATTAAGATCACTTTCTAAACCTTTTGACCATTCCTATTTCACCCTTAAATGACAACAGGGTACCAAATGTTACTTTTACACAGATATTGTTAAGCCTCAACCTCATTCCCAGGTGGATCCAGGTCCCCAACCAGTCACAGCGCCTGTTGTAATTTGGAGCTGATCTTTGCCTTCCTATTTTTGTGTCTGTAAAAATCAAAGTACAATGTTTTACCTCATTGTTTAAAACACTGTATAAAACTCATGGAGCTTGGGTGTTCAACTTACATTTATTATTTCTTCAGTAGTTGGTGGAGGAGAATTAAGAATGTTCTCATCTGACTGTCATTAGAATTTTACATTAGCATTGTTAATGAAAAGAAAAGGAAGATGTAGGGAAGATTATATATATCCTTATCTTAAAAATCTTAACACATTGAGAAAAAATAGAATATCATTAAATAATGACAGTGCATAATGAATATGATTTATGCAGGGTATGCACATTAATTAACTGCCATGCAGAGTGCTGCAATCACCCATTCAGTCACAGGTTAAGGTAATTAAATACTGTTCTTGCTATTGGAGAGGTTTCAGACCTTGGTCCCCAAAGATGTAACATTGCATTCTCACTAGCTTAACTTTTTTCATTCATAAAAAATTGAAGAATTAATCCAATTAAAATGTATTGGAAGAATCACAGTGTATTTTCCTCTTAAATCCATTTAAACATCTGCGAGAGTCATATCCACTGAAGGGAAATAAGATTATATGAGAACGAAGTTGCCTTTCTACTTTGAAATTTAATTAAAACAATCTGATTGAAAAATCATATATTTAAGTAGCTCAATGTTTGTATGTGGCTATTTAAATAAAAAAGGTCAACAGAAGTCTTGTGAACCTGAGGACAATAAATATTATTAGAGATATTTCTAGGTCTTCTTTTTGTCTTACATAAAAACTTGGTATTCTAAACCGGTGACTTGCTGACTACTTCAACTTCTGATGTCCACTAATCTTTTATGGAATATATTTGGAGGAACAAGATGGTAAAAATCCAAATGGAAGAGCTCAGTGTTGTGCTTTAACCCCAGAGGGCATCTCAGCCCCAGCAGCTGCTTGCTCACCCCTGGGGTGGGGCAGAGAATGGGAAGGGTAAAAGTGAGAAAACCTGTGGGTTGAGACAAAGACAGTTGAACAGGTAAAGCAAAAGCCATGCACGCAAGCAAAGCAAACCAAGGAATCCATTCCCCACTCCCCATGGGCAGGCAGGTGCTCAGCCATCCCTAGGAAATCTGGACTCCATCACATGTGTTGGGGACTAGGGAAGAGGAACACCATCACTCCACATGTCCCCCCCTTTCTCCTGCTCCTCCAGGTTTATATGCTGAGCATATAAATATCCAGTGCACCCCTAGCCCTTGCTGGTGGGCTGAGGAGCAGAAAAAGCCTTGGCTCTGTGTGATCTCTGTTCAGCAGTAGTGAAACAACCCCGTGTTATCAACACTGTTTCCAGCACAAATCCAAACCACAGCCCCATACCAGCTACTGTGAAGAAAACTAATTCTACCCCATCCAAAACCAGCACTCAAGGAAAACAAAATGAACCTGCACAAACCACTTTTGTTCTTTTGGTGGGTTTGACACTAAAGAAGGACAGAGCCTTCCTTGTAGTCCAACAGAAGCTGGTATCAGCAGGAATTGTTGATGCTCAGCATCCTTCAGGTTGAGCTTGTGGCAGTTTTGGCCAGAGCTAAAAACAACTGCTGCCTAATACTGTTTTGCCTGGAGTGTTCTAAAGCCTGGATGTGGCACATAGTGCCATGGTCTAGCAACTGCAGCGGTAGTGGATCAAGGGTTGGACTTGATGATCTCGGAGGTCCCTTTCAACCCAGCTGATTCTATGATTCTATGATTCTAAACAGAAGAATGGTGACACCACAGGTAGCCAGCAAATGTTCCCATGAGAACAAAGACTGTAAGTGCTCATCCACATTTTTCTGTCCAGTATGAAATCCTCTCGGGAGGAGGATGCCTGTGCACTCACTGGATAATAATGAAAACCCATTTCAATCAATAGGCTATAGAGTAAGCCATCTTCCCATTCTTATATCAGGACTCAATCTAATTAGAGCAATAACACTTCAACATTTAAAGTATCCAACCTTACTTTAGGAAGTATTTTTTAAGGAATAGAACATTAAACCATACTGTTGCTAAACACTAGTATTTATTTTGATAGTGACAGTGAAAAGTCAAGTATTACCCACACAAAATACATTATTTCTGCACCTACAACCATATTGTCCAGATTGTTTCTGATGAATAAGTTGCCAGTGGTGTAGGTGGCAGCTGAAATGTAAAGTTCCCCACATAGACTTTTTCATCCTGTCACAACACTGACAAAGCATCAGTGCTGTAGTGCTGAGCTGAGTGTGACATGATGCACTTCTCAGCAGTGGATACAGGCAAGTGTTGCCTTTTATTGGGCATCAACAAAGTTCTGCTTAAATTCTGTTTTAAGATTCTTTCAAATTCTGTTTATTGCTCATAACAAAGACTGAAATGTAATGGGTAAATAGTTTTCTCAGCTCCTTCCTTCCTGAGAATCAAGTCCTAATAACACGGCATTGATTATAATTCAGAGATTCTTATTACAACTGCAAAAGGTGAAATCTCTCCTTTATTATGAAAGCAGGGATTTCAGAATTGTTTAAAACAGCCTAAATCCTCAAATGCACAGCAATACCTGTGCATAGTTATTTCCAGTACCTATGGGAGACTGTTACATACTTGTCAAATTTCTTTTTCACCTGTACAATTGCACATGCCAACAGAAGCATCCCTAAGGATCCAGCATTGTTTCCATAGTTTAGCTTCTTTAGTATCTTCACAATTATTCAAATTGTTTTCTGCTAAGACCCAAAAATTCCAGAGCATTTCCAGCCTTGAGTTTATCCTGTAAAAACAAAACACATATATATGCTTGTGCTTAACTCATATTTAACTCAAATGCTTTTACTTGTGCTTTAAAAGGAACTGCTGCGAGGAGACTAGAGGGCATCTTCCAGTCTCTGCAGAAATCAGTGTACTACATTGAGTTTTCAGTGTTCTATCTCATGTCTCAAACCAGACAGGGAAAAAAACCCTCTAATGTAAAGATCATACCTTCAATTTATGGTCAAAATCATCCATCGAATCAATCAATTTTCCAGGTTCCAGTTCCCCAAGTGGAAAAGGGTAATCTGTCCCCAAAATGACTTTGTCCTGGTAATAAAAAAAGTTGTACACTTTGTAGTAACATTGAACAACAGAGTTGCCTTCTGGAATTTATAATAAACCACAGGAAATTGCATGTACGTATTGGAGTGATTAGTTATGAAAGTGAATATGAAGATAATAACTTCCATTAGGGAAAGAACAAAGCTTGAAAAAAATGGCTCAAGAGTTTATTGGGTGAATTTAAGTTTGAAAAAATTACTTGTTAATAATTTTTGTGGCTGAAGTTTGAGGTATTTTTATTCTGATACACAAAAAGTTCAAAATGCAAATCCCAGGCCCATGGCATGACTGTCTGTTGCTCAGGAATAAAAGACAAATAGGAATTTCCTACTCAAATTGATTTTCTGTACTGTGATGCTGGTTAGAAATGTAACAAAGAGGCATCTATTGTTCTCCTACACTGCTCATACTACTGCTGCAAATAGTTTGCCTAAAACGCAATGATTAATTTTGGTTAAGTGTTGCCATAATTAAATAGCCAATAAAGGACACACAGAATTCTCCCCTCTGATTTTTGACTTACTCACTGCATGCTCTGCACTGTTGTGTGCAGTGTAAAATGTGTATGAGACTTTTTGACACATTTCTTTGAGAATCTAAGGAAATTCTCCACCAAATTCAGAAAATGTGCTTGGATTTGCATTCCTGAATTTGAAATTTTTATCTGCATACACACAGACACACATAAACTTAAAACTTACATATATGTGAGAAGAACATGTAACAAGAAATACAAAGCAATCAAAATTACCTTTTGTGTGATACCTTGAAAGTTGTAATAATGGCAAAGTGACACTACTTAAAGTATGATACAATGTAGAATTACTACAAACACTGACATTAAAAGAGCATTTAATTTAATTTAACTGGTATTCAGCTTCAGATTACAAAACCTAAATCTCATTTACAAAATTTTGTATATTTCTGGAAGTCTGTAACTTTTTAAAATGTCAATGGCTTTAACTGGGACTGGATATTAACTGTGCATTTGAAACACGTACCTGAGAATATGAGTGACATGATATGATTTATTTCTGAAAGAAAGTCTATGAAAAGAAAATTCAATAAAAATCTGTGTGCAACGTTCCTGTTATCAGAGATGAAAAGAAATAGGCACATCCTTGACAGGGCCACATTGTTATGGGCTCACTTTCACCCTGGAGTGATATTTCCCCGTTTTATCTGCCTTGGCGAGTGCATACTGCCAATTCTCCTGATTTTATTAAAAGTCTGTTTTTCTTTAAGTTTCATCTCCTGAAGACATGAATATTTGAAAACCACAGTTTTCATTAAAAATATATGTTTTGAAATGTGTCATGAATTTGAAGTCAAGCTGATAAATATGGGACACTTTTTATAATGTTTGAACTCTATTACCAGTAATGACATATGGTGAAGAACACATCATTCAGTTATTTTTTGAAATGCTTTGTTTTTCCTAGTTGCCAAATGCTTTTTGTTTTTAAATTGTTTAACCTCCAGTAGATGTCAGCCAAGAGTCTCTGGAAGAATCTACACAAACCTTTACCCAAAATCCAACCAGGAGATATTCTTTTGTTCTGTCCTATATTGATGTGTTATAATTTGTTATGGAACACCTGCTGAAAGATTAATATAGAACAATTTATATCCCCTGTCTAAAAAATCAATTTCTGAGTGTAGATGAAACAAAATATATTTAGGGTATGTACTTTTAAGCTTCTAAATATATCCTTTTATTTATAATATTCAATTAAATACCAAGATATTTTATTCAGATAGGAAAAAAATATATGCCATCTACAGAACCCTCCAACTAATAAACATAAGAGAAAATGGATTCCTAAGTAAAGGAGAAGGAAATGCAGAATTTGCCCAGCTATTTACTAGGCAAGGTTAAGTAAGGCAGGAAGGTTTGTGCATCCTTGTTTACACCTCCTATATACAAAACCAGAAAGAAATCCCACAACCTCATTAGAATATTATATATTTTTCTTTTCCTCTCTGTATAAACACATTTTTCTTTTCCTCTATTTGAAAGTGTTTCACAAGTGTTTGAAAGCTAATCATGGGATCTATTCCTTAGTAGTAAAATCAACTGTAAATTGATAAGAGAAATTTAAGAGCAGCATTCTGGCTGGTGATCTTAGGCTACTTGTTTATACTCTTTGAGCTTCAGTTTTGTACTCATCTATAAAACAGGGATTGCAATACCTGTCTTTAGCAACCAGCCTCAGAGAAGTCCCGTGAAGCCTTTGCAGGTAAATAATGCTCCTAGCATAAGAGATGTACTATTATATTATTCCAAAGCATACCAACAAAGTCAATTTTTCCTAGAAGAATTATGGTTTGATTCCCTAATTAGCGCAGATCTCCATTTAGAAAGGTACGTGGGGTAATGATTAACCTCAGTGGACTCTTTTACTCCATAGAACTTTTTCTCACAGCAATAGGGACTTGAATCTGAAAATGAACCTCAAAGTTGGTTCACCTTAAGCATGAATTTGCTCTCTTCTATTAGTAAAATTTGCCTTGAATCTCACCTTCTTTTCTACTATCAGAACACATCTCAAAAAAAAAAGGCCAGATTGCTACAACCAGTTCAGCTCCAACTTCTGGCCAGAGGATGTTTTGCCTTTGGACAATGGCTCTTGAGGAATCACCGTGAGGAAGTTTTTGCAGAGATACACTGAATCATTTAATCCCACGTCAACCCGGTTCTTCACTTTTCATAGCCAGCATCATTAGGGATTTTGTGTTTATTTGTGTTCACCTCATGCCACCTCATCATGGGGGGAGCGAAGGACTGCGGCAGTTTTGCAGTCTCACAAAACTCCCAGAAATGTGTATTTCTGCTTCCTTTAGCTGGGACGGGCTCTAATTAACCTGCACCTAAAACGAAGAAGGCATGAACTTCACTGTACATGACTCACCACAGCTGTTACTGGATTTTAGTATTCATCAGCTCAAAGCCAACATGTTACATTCTGGTGCCAGGTAGTGGCTGTTCCCTGAGGACCCAGAGCCACGTCTAAGCACATCCCCTTCCTGCACAGCTCTTAGCCATCCTCTGGAGAGCTGTCCTATTTCAAACCTTCAGCTCAGAAAGTTACAGTGTCATCCTCAAGACTCAATCACATTGTTTTTAGCCCAGAATTTATTAATCTTACATGTGTTATCCTGCCAACATGTGACTGCACTGAAAGCACTGAGATATTTAGTGTTTCTTTAAGCGTTTGACTCATGGAAGAGTATTATGTAAGAATATCAACTTTCATCAGAAAAAAAGGGAACCTTTTAATCTTCACGGTTATAAAGTAAAGTTTGAAAACGTGATGTGAATGTTTTTTTTTTCAAGGATAAGATGCCTTAGGATATGAAAAAGAGAAAGTTCTCCTGAGTGTTAAAAAGCACTTATGTTTTGGGTATCTGACTCATAACTTTTCAGCACTAGGGTTCCACCTGATGTCTCATTGCTCAAGCTCAGAATACTCAGAGGAGAATTAAAGAGGACACCAACATTCTGTGTAGTATGCTGGCCAAATTTATTCCATTAAGAAACTTTATTTCAGAAGGCTGTTGACAAAATAAACAAGATACCAGAGAGGTTAATGCTGAGTGACTTTTAGGTTATCAAATTACAATCTGTAATCTCTCTCTCCTCAAAAAACTAAATTTCAGTTGCAAAGACTAATCATGATTCAGGGCCAGAGTCTATGTGTAACTTCTCGGGATGAAAGGTAGAAAAATTAAAGTGTGGTGCAAAGACTGCAGCTTTCCCACAACAACAATAGTTTAGAACAGCCTTGAGATGCAAAGCTGACTCTAAAGCAGAACTGCTCTGGGACTTGCTGAGCTACACAAGTTCAAACAGAAAAGAGTTAAATTAGTCAGCAATGGATTAAGCATCCTGTTGTACTTTCCCTCCTGCTTTGCTCTTGACATCCACAGGTCAGCTTAACAGATTCAGACCAGAAACAGAACCTGTGAGTCTCAGCCATGCTGAGTCACACAGCTGCTGATTTACCAAGGTCTTTACCATTAGAACAATGGGAAAACATGTCTCCTAACATTATAAAATGGATAAAAAGAGATAAGCCACTGATCTTTTCTCCTTGCACTGGCAATTTAAAATTCAAGAGCTACATTCATCCCTGTATACCATAACTGCATGTAGAACAAATATTTGGATGAATGTGGTCTAGATTTGGGGAGATTTCTCAGAAAAGGAATAACAGAGGCAAGTGCTGAACTGCTACTCCATGAGCCTTTGGATGTCTTGTAAAATGGACATGCACATCACACCCCGGAAAATTTTTAAATCTATCATCAAAATACCTTAAAGCCACTTGATTACTCTGAGCTACAGTTAAATTCAAAAGGTAATGCATAGCAAGAAGTCCTGGGCTGTTGACCATGATATATTTGCTATTTAGAGGTTTTGTAACAGAAATCAAAAGCAATCAGTATTGGGCCCTAGTATCTTGTTAGTAACCCATCTGGTGCCTAAAACTTCACCTCTGATACAGAGATGGCAAATGCCACCTGAATTAATACCTGCTGATGTCATAGGAACTTTCCAATACTAACAGCTTATTAGCAGATCTTTTGACAAGTGAACTGACCTGGGTTACTTATTTCCAATGGCAGTAGGCTCCATGGTAGTTTCTTTGCACATTTTTTGGGGCTCCTTCTATAAATCTATTTTTGGCTCGTGGTGGATTTAGGAAAAAAGATATTCTGTCTCCTCTGCTTCAAACTGTAGTGTTACTGTATGCATACATAACTATACACTTCACAAAAACTTTCTATAGTGTTGTTTTAAGCTGTAGTTTTGCTGTCACATTGTGCAATTTTTCATGGATCTTCAAATGCAAAGCTCTCTGAAAGTCACAAGTATTGCAGGAGACCTGCAGGCAGAATTCCAGACTCAAAGCTACAGATTTCCTGCGCAGCATGAACAGAAAACCCATGGATTTCAAAGTGTGAGACCTGAGCTCAGAGTACCACAACAAAGAAAGCAATAATGCTGCATTATTAATTGTGGCTGGCCTAGGCAGGTCACTTCTGTACCAGTTCTAGTGCCGATTTACTGCAGTAACCAGGTCAGCCTGTTAGAGATGAAAATGGGAAATCAGCAGAATCTTTTCTGTAGAAAGAAAACATTTGGCTGAGTGGTCTTTGTGAGCTTTGGTCATACAAGAGGCCCTAAGGACAGCAACAGCCCTATACTATGTCAGCCTAGAAGATAATGTACAAGAAACAGGACTACAGCTGTTGAGACAAGAAAGTCAGTGTCAGAGCCTGTATTTCTGTTTTTGACATCTGGTAGGTGTCTGCCTGCTGGCTGCAGAAACTCCAGGAGGGCCAGAGATCAAGACACAAATACATGTCTCTTCTTGATTTGTAGTGATCCATTGGAAGTTGGCCATGATGCCATCTTCAAGCCCTTCCTGAGCATTTACTAATGTAAAAAGGATTATTTGAATGTTTTTGGATTTTTCTGTCCCATGCTGATTTAAAGAAGTTGCTAAACTACAAAGATTTCTTCACAAATAATGAAAATATTTTTGCAAACCCGTGATGTTTAATGTTCTCTTCAGGATCCTCACAAAAGCTTTATTATTGACTTCCTTTCCTGTCTATAACTTCCCTAGTAGAAATACAATTTGATTTCTTCATGTATATACTTGAATTTTAAAATTAAGCCATTTGAAAACAAGGCTCCAAATGAAGCAGTCCCATCCTCAGCAAGATTACAGAAGGAACTAGCCTCACGGAACTCAGGTTCACAGGGCATGATTGCTGGGATTAAAACCACAATTTCAATAACTCTATATAGCAAAAATATTATCAACATGGCAGAAACCCATCAGTGTATTTCCCTGGGTGAAGTTTTTTTCTCCTTCCTGCTTTCTTCTTCTCTTCTCCTTTTGCTGTTTCATAGAGAATTTTATAATGACTCACCCTCTTCTGGAAGCATTAAAACTCACCTCTCCTATGACACTTGTTAACAGCCTTAGTGCACCAGGGTCATGGACAAGAGAGTCTGTGTAAAATGAGCCCAGGTATTTCCTTGGATCCACCTTGTTATCCATCGCACACAAGTCAGGGCGCACGTTGAATCCGTGGGAGATTCTCCCCACTGTGTATGGAAAAGCTCCACCTGCAAGAAGAAATTTTCAAAAACATCAGCTGAAAATAAAGTAGGAGGGGAAAAAAAAGCCACATTATCACCAAAGACCCACAAGCTTTACTGTCAGCTATTTAGAAAGTGCTCTGCACCAGTAATTTTTTATTCCTTCCCCTTCATTAACTTCTTTCTCAATTGTCCTTACTTCTTCACTACTGTGATGTCCAAATTACTCCTGCTGCTTCTTTGTCCCTTTCCTTAAATCATCTCCTGTCTCTGTTTCCTCCTTGTTTTCCTTAAAGGGTATTTTAGCAGTTCAAACACTGTTTGACACAGGCTAGGCAGTGTTCATACAAGCAGCTGATCTGGCAGGTCTGGGGTAATAGCGCTCAGCTGGTGGCAGCCTTAAAGTGCTTGAACCCTTGATCCTTAGCTGGGGTACCAGAAAATACAGCTGTAACATGCTTAACTAAAGAACTGGAGTTTCACATGCTTCATTACTCACCTCCATGTGCAAAGCAAACTTTCAGCTTAGGAAATTTTTCAAAAATTCCTCCCATAATCATGGAGCAAATGGCCATGGTTGTTTCTGTTGGCATGCCTAAGAACAAAAACAGCTTAATTGTATAAGAGTTTTACTTTTTCAATTTCCTCTTTGATTTTTAAATGTTATCTGAATTTTCTTCCATTAGCCTTGAGCCTACCGAAAAAAATAATAGTTACAGGGCACCTGCCAAAGGTTTCACATTTACTATTAGAGGGACACAGAGCTGAACTTTAATTAAATGAAATGAAGACGCAGGACTGGAAGTTCAGATGTTCTGAATTCTAAGTCCAGTTTTTACTCTATAGAACTAGGACAGGTGACAGGCAGGTTGGGTATGTCCTGAAATACACAATACAGGCTTTATTCCCGTTATCCTACCTCAAAGAGTAGTCTGGAATATGCCAGCTTCTCACCTGTGCTTCTGTATTCCTCTTGTGTGGAAAGGGGGGCAGATGTATTGGTAGATATTCCAAGAGAGATTTGGGGTTTAGTTATGACATGATGCCAGTTCCTATAGTTTTGAAATAACCTCTCTCTCTCTCTTTGCCATGGATAAGTTGGATGGCCAATGTTAGGAACATAACAGCAATATAGGTTCCTACAGCAGGCCTCAGTTTATGGGTTTACCCAACATATTTAGAATATTGTGCCATCTAAACATCTAACTTCAGACATCCAGCTTAAAGTTAGGAAGTGAGTTCCCCTCATCTCTGGGAGAAACAATATCCATCCAGCTCAAAAAGTTGTTTTTCATTAATGTTTTACCATACCCTCAGATGTAAAGCCTTGTAAGTCTTTGTAAGAAAGTATTTTATTTATGCTTTGTTAAGTAAATGCAATAATTTTATCCTCTTTTTAAATCTGCATTGTTGAGCATGCTCTCATTAAGATTAGTTAATCTTGTTCCAAGATACTGCACTAGTGATTGGGACAGCAAGATTTTCCAGTGCATACTGCAGAACATATATGTATATTGTGCATGCTTTTCAGAACTGAAGTCAGTGCAAAACCATGCAAACCAAAACTATGCAAAATAGAGTCAGTGAGGGTGGGATGAGGTCTAAACATTTCGAGGTAGCAGAATAACCCTCCTCCTGTTATTCACTGTTGTTCTGATTTACCATCAGATGGAGAAAAACCAGGAACTAGATAATGCCCTGTATCTGTGGAGTGCTTTCAAAGTACATGCTCTTCCAGCTATAGTTGATGTAAAGTAAGACTTATTTCCTCTCTGGCTAACCTATTTCTAGGAAATAATCCACTAAATTCTAAGAAATAATCCACTAAATTCTAGGAAGTAATGTTTGGTTTTGCCTAGTCTTTCATTTATTCCTGTTATTTTTGAGGAGCTCATTTCTGAGACAATTCATTTTTCCTTAGTCATTTGCTTTTTGTATTGAAGACAAAAGGGAATACTATGTTATGTTGCAAAGCTGAATAATTTTAATTCTAAGTATTTAAAAGTTAGACAAACTGAACAAGCTTAAAGCCAAATGGCTGCTGAATTTACACAATAGACTTAATCGAACTACCTGATTAAAAAAAAGGTTTGATAGAAAATCCATTTGTTATCTGTACTAGTACTTTACTTTGCAACAATCTGCTGAGCATAATCCAGTTCATAAATTTAGGCTAAGCAAAGTCAATATACACTTACCTATTAGCCAAGGAAACCAATATTTGGACATCCTCCCATCTATCTGCATGTCCCAGGGATGCACGAAGAGACAGCAATTCAATTTTTCAGCAGCCTGCAGCAAAAGAAAAAGTCTAAATCTTGACTAATTATACCAAAATACACCTTTTTTTCTTAGTCGTGTTTTAAAATTACCTGCAAAACTGTACTGAGCAGTAGTACTAGTATGAAAATAAGCCCACAAGTAAGAAATACAAGTAATAGTTGCTTATATTTACTCCTCTGGGCCATAGTCTGAAGTCCTTACTCAAAGTTCTTTCTGTGACCACAGACTGGAAATATAAATGATAATATCTTTTTAGTAAGCCAAATGTTCCTCAGATTAATGCAGGACAAAAGTGGTTTTCCAGCCATGTTTTTCAGCCATCCTGAAGTAAAAAACTCAGTTCAAGCAAAAACTTCTTTGGTTTCTTTATACATATAAGGATGAATTCTCATAATATTTTATGAACAATTTTAGTATGGTTTTGCAGAATTGTTCCAGCTGCATTCAGGAATTTTCATGTGAGTTGCACTACATTGTCCCCATTGGCCTTCTGCCTGGCTTTAAAGGAAAGTTAAAAATATTCCTAATCTATCCTAAGAGTTCAAAATATGGCTGTGTTCTGATCAGGAATCCATCTCCATGCAAGTATATTAATTTTTCCAAAATTATTGACAACTTAGGAAAGGAAAACAGAAGAACAATGACAGATGCTGACCCTGAATGAGTAATTTAACTATTTGCTTAAATTTAAATATACAATCATCAGAGTCATTCATATGCTAAACCAGGATTTATCAGCCTCATTTTTCAGATGTATTTCTGGACCTCCTCTTGTTGCTAAGGAGATTATCACACATTTGAAAAAAATTGGTTTTGTTTACCCATACATGCATAAATAAAGCTGCAACTTTTGGGTTGTGGGGAGTAATTGCCATCTACATTTGTAAACTAAAAATAACAATTCAATTACTGTCTTGGTAGATTGACAAGAGTTCATTGTCAAATATGGCTTAATTTCCCAATCTGTATTATCCAGGGAGGTTACTTCCTACATTGTGAAGAATGTACAGCACAAGAGGGGGATCTCAGCACCAGAGACATGGAGTTACTGGAGGGAGTCCAAAGATGATGAAGGGACTGAGCATCTCTCCTGTAAGGAAGTGCTGAACAAGGGTTTGGACCAGATGGGCTCCAGAGGCCTCTCCCAACATCAGCCATGCTAAGATTCCATGAATGTGGGCATCTACATCTGATAACTGACTGTTTATCTCCATAAAAACAAACAGTCCAGGTGCTGCACTAACAGAATTCTTGGATAAATTCAGCATCCTGAAATATGACCTCTGTGGTTCAGTTTCAAGCAGACAGCTCTAATAACTTGAGAAACAGATGCAGAATGTACATTGATTAAAGCTGTAATTTAGACAAATGACCATCCTCATCTGGACCTCAGGCTATTTAAGAAATTTAATCTAAAAATTCATTTTATAATCAATGCATTGTTTGGAACTTTTGGTTCTATTTACATAATTCCACGTGGTATTTCAGCTCTATAAGTATCTCTGATCATCTCAGGGAGTTTATCAATTATTTCAATAGGATTGGATACAATAACTTGAACCCGAATGCAAACAGTGCAGAAGTGCTTTATTTGATACTGCACTTATCCTCACAAACCAAGAAGGCAACTCTACAGTGAGAACTAATATAATAAAAAAAAGTTGTTACTCATTATTATAAAATATGTTTCAAAATGTTTTATGTTGTATCATTGTAATTATATCCTATAATGAATTGCCATAAACAATTAAAGCCGAGTCTCTCTGATCACTAAGCAGATTAGAAGGCTCAAACCATGACTGAATGTGCTCCAAGATATTTTTAGACAGAGTTCCACATCACAGAATTCCCCCCAAAGAAGGAAAGAAACGGTTACTCACAGCATAAACATCGTACAGCTCTGGGGCATTCAGGTCCCACTCGTTGACATGAGATCCTATTTGCACTCCAGGAAATCCCAGTTCCTTCACACAGCGATGCATTTCCTTCACAGCCAGGTCTGGAGCTTGCAGGGGTAAGGTGCCCAGACCCACAAACCTCTTGGGGTACTTCTTTACTGTAGCAGCCAAGTCATTGTTTAATATCTGGGCTAGGTCTAAAGTATCCTGAGGTTTGGCCTGGTAAGATATTAAGCAGAGTAGTACATTAAAATATAGTTCTCAAATGTTATCACCTTTGGAAGATATTGGATAAATGTCACTGCAAACAACTGAGAGACAGGGTTTAATCCTAAGTTTGCTTTACAGTTCTGAATAGCTGCAAACCTGCAGGACTAAATTCTGCCTCACTTTAAAACCTCTGGGTGCAGTTCTGCTTCTTGTCTTGAATATTTTATCAACTGCTGTTGCCTTTGCTGCTCAGTAGGAGTATATTAAAGCCCAGATTGCTGATGCATTTAAGTATCTGGTCTTTTTGTGTAAACCAGTCCCCTGTTTCTGTTTATCCCAATGCAAAAACCTCAGTATATAATTTTTAAACATAGCAATGAATATTTACTCTCCTGTTACTGGAGCTGAAGAAATAAAAATAAGAAATGTGAGATGCTGCAGCATGAGAATTCTACAGAGAAAACTTGGGCAAACTTCTCTAACATTTAGAATGAGATAACGGTCATAAGTCCAATAAGGGAAGTGCAATATCCCTTCAATCAATCTCCATTTTCCCCTCCAGTAAGTATTTAAAGGAAGATATTCCCTTAGACACCAGAGTAAAGTTTTAAAGAGATGTTGCTCAACAAGAAATTCTGAAAATTGGTGGTACTACTTATTTGTGGGCTTAACACAATGGTTTTAATGTAACATATCTGTTTACATATAACATCTTAACTTGTACACATCACTAAATAATCAAATTGAGAATGTATTTAGAACAGCATTTTGCTACGATTTATCTTCTTAGCCTGTTTTTATTTCTTTGAAGCATTAAAGATCACCATGCAGGGAACGTATTAACTTAAATTTGCTACTGAATTTTAAGATTCAAATATTCTAGGTCACTGAGCCCTGTGCCACATTTAAAAGAAAGTGCGACAAGACCACAAATATATCTTTTATATATTTGGGTTTTTTTTCATGAGAAAATACTGTTTGATGTCTAACTTTCATGGAATCTGTACATATATGTCTACCTGCTAAGCATGGATTCATGTGGTGTAAATTCTTTCTCCCCATTTCCAGCTGCCCCCATAAGAGAAGAGATCCAGCTGTTGTCTCTTTCTGTCCCACCGTGTGTGCTCCGGAGTGGAGCTTTGCCAGGACACCCTGCTGGCTCTTCTGACACCTGCACTGCTTTTGCCTTCTTCAGAGCAGAACAACTCCCTGTTTACCTCAGTGATCTAGTGACTACTTCAGTCACCTCATTTATAGGAAGATGCATGTACATTTTAAAAGTTTTGCTACATATGAATTACAAAATACGGTAGTAGGAACTTACCCAGTAGCTGAACATTACAGGGACTGTGGAAAGGGTTTGGACTGTGACCCCTGAATAAGAAAAAGCAGTTATTAATGTTTCCTTTTTTTTGTTTGTTTGTTTGTGATAAAAGATAAGAAAGCATTTTGGTTTGAGAGGCAGAAGGTAAAAGTTTTATGATAAGAAACACTGATTTAAGTGACATGGATAGATTTATTTTTAAATTATGGATCATAGTAATAAATTTATAATGTAGCAGTTTATTAAGATTTGAACATACTTGGTAAGTAGAAAGAAAGAGAACACTTTCCTACTCATACTAGGTTGTTTGTGAAATTAAGTATTTTGATTTTAGAAATATTTAGTAGGCACATGTACAATCAATTAAAATAGCAATTTAATGTTACTCTCACAAAAATGAATGTGACATTAAACTAATAGAATGCCATAAGTTAAGTTTACTTTGGGGTCACATTTGTCATACATATTTAATAAATAAATAAGTGATTTTGCTTAAAGATTAAAAACATTATGTTAACGATGGTTGGTAAACAATGTTTACCCAAGTGTTCCACAAGGCTATATTGTGTTAGGTTTCATTCATCCTGTGTCTGGACTACTGAGGTTGCAAGTATAAGAAAATCTACCTGTTTTCAGAAATAACTTTGATGTTTGCAATAAAGAGAATTAAGTCAATGTTGTTTTGTTTCTGTTCAGACACAAATCTATACCATAACTTTGTGTGTGACAGATTACAGGAATAAAAGCGACAAACCTAGTAGACAAACAACAAAAGAAACATTGGGTAATAATTAGGACTTCACTAAATATTTACATGCAAAACTATTTTTTTTTTACATTTTAGGTCTGATTGTAATGTTTATGCACTTTCTTCTGAGACAATGACCCTGCCAAAGCACTCCAATGTTTAACAAAATGATTCTCAGTAGTTAAGCAGGAAACTGGCTCAGATTCTTCCAAGATCTGATTAATATTATGTACAACAGCAATGGTTTGGGTTAAGGATTAGGTCTGCAAAATTACATATTTACCAAAGTGCAGCCTAAATTGTGTTATCCACCAATATGAACACTTGATTAGTGTGTTTGAGAACATCCACCATGTTGTCCACAATGAATGTTGTATCTGGTTTCAATCCATTTTTACACTTCTGAGCAAATTTAACATAAAGCTTGAAGGCAGATTTCCAAGCTGAACTTCCTAGACAGTGGCTTTAGGAAGAATTAGAATCAGTGCAGAAAAACCTCTACTTTATATCCTCTTCAGGGGATTTTACAAAGGAGAAAATAACAAGAGAAGGCAGTTAGGATGAACTGATATACTTTCTCTAACAGAACTGTGATGATTTGTGTTGCAGAACTGTGATGTTAATCACCTTTACAGCTTGTTTTATTGAATTACCTGGATAGCTTGTTTTATTGAGTGGATCAAGACAGAGGTGTGCACACCAATTAGACCCAGGACATATGATTATGAGAACTAATTGAGTCTCTTTGGTCCATTGGATACCATTTCTTATTACTGGCAAGATTTCTTGGACAATGCACAAAGGAAGTCTTTTAGCTCAAAGTTATTTCTCTGAGTTAATAATACCTTTTAGTGACTGATTCTAGTTTTGTTCAGCTGGGAGACTCCTTGCATCTTTGTCCCAAAATTATGCCATGTTTGGAGGTTAAATTTTTGGGTATACTTTATCTCGGCCTGTGATACAGAAAATGCTCTTTAAACTGAGTAGCTACAATTTTTTAAATCAAAAAGGAGTAAATGCGGCTCATAGTCTTTATTATTAGTTGAGCAGTAAGAATGAAAAACACCAAGGCTTTTTTTTTGTCCCACTGAATTGGCTGATGCCTGTATCTCTGGAGTGCTGCAATAAAGGGGGACGTTTTTAGGGCACAAGTCACCAGATGGTGCTGTAACACACAGATTTAGATTTTTTTTTTTTTATCAAGTAAGCACTTCATTTGAGGAGAAATATTGTGGTGTTGGTTTTATGATACATTTTCTATTCTGGAGAGCTCTTGCAGAAATTTGAAAAAAAAAATTGCTCCTGTGTTTTCCCTTTGCCTACAGCAAATAGATGGGGCAGAACTGTTTTGTAGAAACTTGCCTTTAGTGTTGAGGGAAATATTTGAAAGGGAAAGATGCCCAAAGGCTATTTGTGATCCACATTGTAGTTGAATGACTTGGTAATCCCCAAAATCCCTGAGCTAACTCAGAGAAAGATTACAGTCTAGTCAAGGCACAATTCTATGATTCTGTGATATGGCAGCATATTTCAGAGTTTGCAAAGACATTTGGGCATTCCCATTAAATGTCTAATGGTTGGAGTTTGAAATACTTTTCCAGGGTGAAAATTTATCTATCTATTTATCTATCTATGTTTATGTAAATTGCCCCGTAGTCCCTGACTTCCTGAACTGGCCTATGCTATGTGTTACTGTAAACCTCCTCAAGGATAATGGCCCAAAGTACCTCCTAACACAGAATCACAGATTCATTTGGGTTGGAAAAGACCTTTAAGATCATCAAGTCCAACCATTAATCCAGCAGTGCCAAGCCCACCACTAACCCATGTCCCCAGGTGCCACATCTACCTTTTTATTAAATCCCTCCAGAGACAGTGACTTCACAACTGTCCTGGGCAGCCTGTGCCAGTGCTTGACAACCCTTTTGGTGAGGAAATTTTTTCCTAATATCCAATATAAACCTCCCCTTCTTCCTCTGCTACTGCTTGTTATCTGGGAGAAGAGATCAACTCCCAACTGGCTACAACCTCCTGTCAGACAGTTGTAGAGTGTGATAAGCTCTGAGAGAAGGAAACAATAATCATAAAGATTCTACTTAAAAAATATCTACTCTCTTCAGGTGTTTATTCCTCATAAAAAGTAGAAGAAGATATTCAAGTTGTGTCTACTGGGAAACTGATGTAGTAATTATTCAGGTCTCAATCTAAGAAAAAAATAATCTTTAGTAACATATTTCTCTCACAGCAGTAATTTGGAATTGCGGTGTTAATAAGAACTAGCAAAAATAACTGATCGGACTCTAAGTCCACAATCAGTCATCCCTAATGTCAATTAGTTCCTTACTAACCTAAAATCCCATCAAAATCAAAGAGTTCATGTGGGGAATAAAGTGCTACTGAAAGTGAGGAAAGCTATGGGAACGCGTCCCATCTGAATATAAAGCATATCAGTTTTCACTGACTTTCAACAGATTTAAACTAACGAATCAATCTGCTAAACCTGTTAATTTTCCCATTGTTATTGAGCACTTTCAGATGAACTGACAGAGAATTTGCAGTTATTCTAAATGAGACTCAAGGATTTCAATTCCTTCATGGAGGAAAGTACCTGACAGGTCCATCTCTTTAATCCGTACTCCTGGATCCCAGCAGTTCTCTTGGATAACTCTAAAAACCTTTCCATCCTTCATCATCTTTGCCTGTCCCTGTGAAATGACATTTTCATATATTATGAATGTGACAAAGCAGTACATGCTAATTTATAGTTGCTTGAGTATATTGTGCTCCCTACAGAAATTCAGTGACAAAATATTGTTCTTTTATTTTTATGCAGTAGGTATTTCTAATCAAAGACTATTTTAAAAATAGACATTAATAAAACAGTCATTTATAGTTCAGATTTAGTATCCATAATAAAAAAAAATCCCCTTTCTTTTGCAAGGTATATCATTGGAAAAGATATCAGGTACCTTAATCCGAGTTTATCCTCAAACCAAATTTTGACCTCAAAACAGTGCTCTAATTAAATTTGTGCTAAATTTTCCCTTTGGGTGTGTATGTATTCTCTTAATAGCATCACAATTATTCCAGTAACTACAGAAATAACTGTACAGCTCAGTTACTTTCAGTCCAGTTGTTTCATATCACCATTGATAATGAGACAAAAGCAGACCTGTTATGTTGTCTTTAGGTTATGCCTTCTTCTTGGGAAAAAAAAGAATTATTGAAGAATTTGTATTTGGGTAAAAAACCCCAAGCAAAACTTTATCACAGTATAAACCCATGACCTCAATTAGTGTAATACCTTTCCCATATGCCACCAATTCCCAAATGTATGAAGTTCAAGATATTATCACAGCCATGAAATTTAATATTGTTCCTTTATGAACATGGAAACCTTTTAAACTTATTTTTTTTTGTTGATTTGTGAATTGTTCGAAGAGGTTGAGGATGTACAGTGTCATCACATTAAGCAAAGTAAATTGTCTGTGAAGTTGAAGGTACCCACATGCTGTTATGAACATGGACAGACAGGCACACCAGGCTTTCTGCTGGCTGACGCTCGCAGAAATGGATGGGACACAACTCATCAACACTTGCAAGCCCTGAGTATTTCCCGGCTGTTTGAAGCTACTGTGGGGATGAGTGGGAAGGGATGAAAGCCAGAAGATCCACCTGGCGCTGTGCATTTGGGGTGGGTAAGTGAGGTCATGCAGCAGATGCATTGGACAGAGGAACACTCCAACTGCAGTTAAAAATTGAAGACCACATGAGAAAACACGAAAGCTACTCCTTCACCTTGGCAGTAAACAGCTCTGTGCAAGGCAGGCTCCTGACCCTTCCAGAAAGGGAATTCTCTCTCTCCAAAGGCCACTTTATTTTTCCTCACAAAGTCGGTATTATTTAGAATTCTGTCTATTTTTCTGAAGAAAGAACCCTGTTAAATCAGAACATTTGCTACTAGTACACCCAACCAGAGGGATTTCTGTCCCCTTCTGAGAAGTCAGACTGTTCTTAAGCTTGAATTTGTTACTAACTTCATACATCATGCACAGATATACTGCCCTAATGAGTATTTCAAAGCTCTCCTCAAAAAATCTAACTGTGCTGCCCTGGCAAACTGTCAAGTTACTTGTTACCTGTATCACAGGCTATGAAAATTACTTGAAATATCATAAGTACAAAGTCCTGATTCTCCAGCAAAATACTTCAGACTCTTGTAAAATTGGTTTTCCAACCTGACGGAAAGGTCTACTCTGGCCATACACTCCAATACATTAAGAAAAGTTTAGTGCATTGCTGCAGGTTGTCTAATAAACAAAAAAATATTTGGGGTGTGAGAAAAAGGCAGAGTAGAACCAAGCATTGCACCACACATGAATAGATTGCATGGATTTTACTATTCTATTCTATTCTACACTACTGTACTCTATCTCATTCTAAACATTATCCAATATTTAATGCTTTAATTAATTTATGTGAAAAGTAAGAGAGACTTATTTCAGAATTAGGTCCAGTAGGCTGATTTGGTTCAGCAAACTACATTTAAATGATCCCATTGCTGAACTACTCAGTCACATTGCAAATTGTTCTTCTTTAAACGTGCACGTAATTGTTTTCTTCCAGTTTGACTCTGATGCTTCTTCACAGAATGATATGAGAAGCCTTTGTTTTTTGTTTGTTTGTTTGTTTTTTTAATCTTAAGAATTAAAGAAAATTATTAAATTATCCCCAGCTTTACATATCTGAACAGGATTTTATTTTGCCATGCACTGCTTTTCATGTAAAATTTTCAGACAGAAGTAGGCTGGACAGAATTCTCTGCAGAGGGTATCAGGCTATTATTGACTTGCCACAAAGTTCCTCTGCAAACTATTTTTAGCACGGAATTTTAGCATCAGACCTGTAACAAACAGCTAAGCTGCTAAAAATGTGTCCAAGCATTCTCTCCTTCCTGCATCTCCCACATGTCTCAGGAGCTGTGCCATCCACAAGTTGGTTCTGCAGGTGGCTTGTTCTCCCCTACTGTGCCTGCTTACACTCAGATCTGAAATCTCAGCATAATATTTGTTTGCTCCTCATTCTTGGATTCGACCTTCATATTCTGTGGTCCTTTTCCACAAATGGTTGTTAGGCATTTTACAATGTAGCCTTGCATGTTCTAGAAAGGCAAAAGTGTGTATAATGTTAGGTTGCAATAAATAGACACAGTGTTGTATCTATTTAATCAGGCTTGCTTGCTTGCTTGCTTTTTTTTTCTTTCTTTCTTTCTTTTTCTTTCTTTCTTCTTTCTTTTTTTTCTTTCTTTCTTTCTTTCTTTCTTTTTTCTTTTTTTTTCTTTTTTTCTTTTTTCTTTCTCTCTCTCTTTTTCTCTCTTTCTTTTTCTCTTTCTTTCTATTACCCAGCTAGTGTAACCTTACATGCAATCACAGTGAAGTAGGATTTTGCAAAGTGACAAGGGGATGAGGGAATATCTAGTTCCACTGAAATTAGCAGGCATTATATACTTAAATACTTTGGTACCTGGAAGATGCAAGTCTTGCTTCCCTAAAGCTGAGTCTCTATAGGGAATGAATGAATTGGCCAAACCACAAAAAGGAGCAAGGAAGAAGATCAGGTACTCTTTTCTTTATAAGGTTACTCCAATAGGGAGAGGCACTGTCACCCTGAAAATGCAAAGTAGCCAATCCTTCTATCCCTTATCCCTCTAGTTTTCAGCATAGAATCCCTGTATTGAGAGAAGAATTTCAGAAGACAGTCACAGATTGTGAGTTTCATCTCTCAAGAAAAAGGTTCTACTGAGGTATATTAGGACTTGCCCTGATATTACTTCATAGAATACAGAGCTCTAGAGAAATCTGTATCAGAAACAGAGCCAATCTTATTGCCACTTCACTTCTTAATAGATTTATTGTGGGTTTGTATTCTTGAGGACAACGCAAGATTATCTTAGAGCACCAAACAGCCCAAACCTTGCAGTGATGATCCAGTTGTACCCATCCACCATATCCATATCTCTGTGGAAGAAAGAAGAAAAAGACAGTGCTAGTTAGCACTCTGTAATCACAACAACAACAACAACAATTACTACTACTGCTACTACTACTACTACTATTATTATTATTTGCAGTTCTCACAATCCAGCAGTACCACATTCAGGAGAAACACACGTGGGCTCAACTTTGAGTGTGAGTAGCCCCATTGACTTGAGCAGAAGTGCTGAAGTTGGACTGGACCAGACTAATGTTGTTTGTATGTGCAATTTTAGCTGCCAGTTCAGCAACATTTTGAAACAACTGATTCCAAAATGCTCAAAGTTGCTTACTGTATTGAGGTTCTAACTGGAATGATTTTAACACAGAAAAAATTAAATTAAATATTTGGCAGTGTGAGAATTGAGCTGACAACTTTGCAATCTGTGATCAGTTAATCATTAGCACAGAGATGCATTGATTCCACTTTTCAGCTTCCATGATTCAGCAGCAGGACTGAAGGTCAGCCTCTTGTCTATTAATATTTAAACAGCCAAGAGTAGCTAAAGAGGAGAAGCTTAGATGCTCATTGATTCTTCCAGAGAGATTCAAAATTGGTTATGCAAAATAGCAAAATCTACATATGAAGCTGATTTTCTTTTACTTTCATGAATTAGCAGATCAGAAATAAATGAAATTTTCAAATATCAGACTGGAAACAACGCTCAGAATTCCTATTTTTTCCATAAAGAAACATTTAAAAGGAAAGTAAGTAAAAGCAGGCATTTCTTTCGCTGAAGTGTAAACAATGTGGATACAATCCTGAATTTCCTGTGATACCAAATCATTACTTAATGCCACTGTGAACTTTCCTAGTGCAGGCGTGCAGAGCCAAGCCTGACTTCAGCCAGTCAGAGATTCTACAGACTGAGGTTATGTAGGTTTTATTTAGCTGTGTTTAGCTATGCATATTTTATTTAAATTTATAAATTTATAGGGTTATATATAAAAATATTGAAACTTGGGGGAAATTTAACTTAAACTAGCTCTGTGCTAATTCCAATTACAAGCTGTGCAGAAAAAGAGTACCTTAAAGGTGCTGAAGGAGCACAAAGGCAATAAAGAAACTCACTGCTCTGTTTTTGAACTTATTTTCTTGTTTCTTCCCTGCAGTTACTAGCTGGGTGCATTGACAGTCCTTATTTCATTTCTTATACAAATTTTTGTTCTTATGTTGGGTTCCTAAGCTGTTAAATATGTATCTTGACAATTGAATTTTCTAGGATGAAGGTTCAGTATTTATAAAGCTGGACACAAAAAAGAGAAGTTCAGCACTAAGTAAATGTGTGCATGTCAGGATACTTCCTTGGTTTTCCACGCATGAGATATAGAGATCTGTGTTAATGGCTTGAATTTTCAGAGGACCCCAGGGAATTCTGGGAGGTGTTTTCTACTCTGAGCCCATTAATAAACCATTGAGTGGCTCAGAACAGAGGAACAAAAGCTAGCAGGTGGAAATTAACTTTTAAAAATTGGGTATTTGCTTCTTTATCTGTGTTTTAAGAAATGCAACACTGGCCTACAGTGTCTACCATGGGTGAATTCAGTCTTGATGTACATCTTGGAACACCAAGGGATTCTTGGGGTCATTTTATCCCAGGGAATTTGTTTCCCTTTTAAAGTATATACAGAAAAAAAATTTTAAAAATCCTTTAAAAATCATATAAAATCAGAATAAAGGCATTTTATAGGTGTTTTTATAAGGTTATTGCACAAAGACAACAAAATCCGAAACAACCAAGAGTAATCTGTCTTGTAGTCTATTTAAACTCCTGTCCATTTAAAACAGACATAATTGTTCTAGAAAGGGTCTGTCTTCCCACCTGCATTATCAAGTGCATATGTGTTTTACATTAGGAGCTCTTAGTATTACAAACAGGAGGTTCAAATAGATATTTATAAACACCTTCCTAGACAAACATGGAAACAAACATTCCTTTCCAGTTTTATGTATAATGGTGTTATTTTTCACTCCTAATGAGGAAGCAATCCTATGTATGTTTTAGTGCCAGGTTTTCTCATAATTTTTCTTTCTAATATGCTGTTAACATTTTGCAGCTGTTCTCTGTCTAATATTGGCTAATGCTGGACTGTCATGATTAAAATCACAGAAACAGAGCTAATAGATATGAAACCCTTTCAGATATACTACTTTAAAACATAAGTGACACTCTCTGTTCCCAAATACATTTCATGGGATCATGAAAATATGACTGACAAGAATAAATTTATGTGACTGAATAATAATAATAACAACAACAAGAATAATAATATGCAAAGATTCAAAATTAAGACAAGTTGACATAGCTTCAGTGTTCTGACAACTGAGATTTTGTATTTTAAAAACACTATGCTACTTCCTTCCAGTAACTGAAAAAATAGCAGATATCATCATCATCATCAATTAACTGTACTTAGAGTGACCCCACTCCTATTGAAATTAATGACTTTCATGCCTGGGGGTATAAGATGTGAATGATTTTTGTCTTAGTTAACATTAATCTTGCCTAATATTTGCTTATTTATTTAATTTAAAACAAACATGAATACCATTTGGGGACAGAACATCTCTATTTTCATCAAGACAGTGGAATTTACACCTCACTATTTGACAATTTTAGGTCAAAAAACCCAAGGAAAACGGTAAGAATTGCTTCAGACTAAATAAAGAGTGGGGAACAGGGCCCAGTATGACATCCCTTTCTTACTGAGACTCTTGCTTTGCAAAGTAATGCATACAAATATTTTACAACTGAAAAAAAATTTAATTATACAAAAACCTAGAGATATTAACCTCAGAACCCTTCATTCATTTTTCTTTCAAAAATCACATGGGTAGAAATGGTTGCTGATCACATAAGGCATTGAATATCTAAACTCTTTTTACCTTTTTCAGGTCAGGCCATTCCTTAGGTAGAATGTGGCTATGAATATCAATTTTCATTTTGGAAGTATCACAGGAGAAGCACTCCTCCAATGATAATGTTTTCTGTGTGAATGCTACTGCCCTTCCTGTCCCTGGTTCACAGGTTATTAACTTTGGCTGCTGTCCAGATCCACCTGCTGCTGTACCAGGAAAGCTTGGTACAGTGGCCAACCAGGAGGCCTAAATCCCAGAGGAGTGGCTCTCTAAAAGAACAAAGGCTTCTAGCAGAAAGTCCCTGTTAATGCACAAACTACAGCTGACTGTGGGCAAAGGGAAAATACGTGTTTATATTGGCAGTATGAAGGGATTTATTTTACACAGAAGCTAAAATGAAAATTTGTGGTTGAAAATCACTCAATAAAATCAAATTAGAATAGATGTATTAAGCGTGCTGACTTGAATTTCCTCTTTTCTGCCTCTTAGACCTGAAATTGTAGAGAACATATAATGTAGAGAATATATAATATACCCCTGGTATAGACAGTCACACCTCCCCATGTACTCTCTTTTTTCTCCCCTTGCATTTGCTTTAAAGCTGTGTAAGAAAACCCCCACAGAAATACTGAATTGTAGACAAATCTCTGCTCTGCACTTTATTTCCCCCTTCTCATTATTGGTTCTTGTAGGATATTTACACAAGTTGCTGCATAACGTTGCTCACAGCCTTTCAAGCTGGCTCAATATGCAGCAATACATACATATATAGCAAATATAGCAGTTTCTGTTTCCTAAGTTAAGTTTAACTGAAGCTATCTCAGATTTTCTGTGAAACTACATCTCCTCTTTTGCTCTTTACTCAATTTAGAATTACACTTCTTTCCTCGAGATACTCTTGCCCTTTATTTGTGCTGTGTTTTTCTCTGTAATTTATTTCATCTAGAGTTTTATTTCAATGTATTCTACTCACACAGTGACCTCTTGTGAAAGCTGGATAACCATTTCTTGATTAATTTTTTTTTTGGTGAAAAATTTGTTTTTTTCCAAAACTAAATGCTCTTGTGAATCTTGCAACTTCAAATAAAGAAACCCGAAAAACAAGTGGCCCATTTTGTTTCATCTGTTTTCTGACTCCACTATTTTGTTTGGGTTTGATTAAAAAAAAATGGACTCCTGTATTTCCCTACTTGTTCACATATTAAGCAAATCTGCTTTTGATTTGGTCAGATAAATTTCTTGGAGTTATTCTTCAAATCAACTTCTTGTGATGGCGTTGGTTTGTTGCTTGATGCTCTTCCCTGCAGCAGGAATGACTGAGTGTTCAAAAGACATGGGAAGCAGCAGCTTTGGGAGAGTATTTCCTAAATAAAGCAAGGCAGCCAAAACTTTGCTTTAACAGATCAAATCCCTGGGATTGAAAATAGCAATTACTTCCATCTCAAAATCAAAATCAATGTTTTCATGACCAGGCTGCCAGGTTAGGCAGCAAATTTGCTCTCCTGCACCCGAATGTGACAGCTCTGCTCTGTGATGTGGCACTACAGTGTCAGCCTGTTGACAAGCAATGTTCCTGCATGTACTACACCAGACATAAGAAAGAAGTATTGATTCAGCTGTGGGGACTCTGCATCATGAATCCATAGACGTGAGGCAGACAGCTAAGGTGAGTCCTTCAATAACGAGATGCCTGGAAGACAATTCCCTATTTAAACATAAAAACAGAGGTACTAGTGAAGGAGAGGGGCAGGAAGAGCTTTGTGCATCTGAACAGTGTAAGACACCAAGTTTCTTAAGTCCCCTTAGCTGCAGGATGCCATGCAGAGCTCAGCTGCATTTCTCCAACACTGTGTGTAGTTTTCCTCAGTTCTAAAGGAAGATGTAGTTGTTACTTACTGCTCCCAAGACACAGCTCAGCTTGCAAACAGTGTAGTACTCCCACACTATTTTTTATTTAGCAAAATACAGCATTTGGAAACCATAGCAGTTGAAGGCAAATTCGTATCCATTTCACTTGATCAAAGGGACGGTAAGACATCCGTCTATATCCAACATGATCCATTGGATCTGCAACAGGAAGACCTTCAGTGGCTACGAACAAAACCATCTTCAGCTACACAGGCACCCAACCTACTCTGAGTGCAACAGTGTGGAAAACAGGACACCTTCACTGATGTTTTGGACAACCTGCCTGATCACAGTGAGAGACTTCTGCCTCTCAATCTTTATGCTGAACAACACAATGGCTTTTAGCATAGTCCTTGCTGTCTGTCTCCACCTGGTTGTGCATTTCTGGGGTGTGAGACAGAGGAGCAGGAATTGCTGGCAGTGACCAGGAGAAGGTGCAGCTGTGTCAGGTGGCCTGACAAAGACAGAGCTGAGCTTGAGTTCACTGGGCTATATGTCAGGCAGGAGGTTGTGACTTGTGACCAGATGGAAACTTTTACATGCACAATGTCTGGGGCCACAGAAAGCTGTATTTTACCATTTGTGGGCCCCTGTAAGACATGAACTTCACCCAGTCTTGGGCCACCCACAAATACTTTACATTGAGAGGATTTGGATGTGAGACCACAGAGCTAGTCAGAAAAAAAAAATCAGTCAATAAATATACTTGCTACATCTACTCAGGAGAACTAGAATGCATAAAGAATTCTTCTTAGCCAAAAGCAGCCTCCATACATTAGGATGGGACATACATTAAGCTGGCATGCCCCCCAGGCTCAGTACACTTCCGCAGGGTATATGTGTCATTAAGATCACTTGCAATAAAACATGCATTTATTATGGCCATTAGAAACCAAACTGCATCCTTGAATTTGAGCAATTTCCCATATTTGTGTGTGTGTGTGTGTGTTATATGATGCCTATTTACACGGTTTTATACTGGGAAACATGATTAACAACTCCTTCAGGCCAATTTAACTAGAGACTATTCAGGCCAAGGCTGATTTCAGATACACAGACACAAGTCTAGCACATCTATGGAGTTTTATTTCACTATAGGGACAAGCACTAAAGTGAAAATGGTGTTAGTTGTAGAACATTAAGGGCTCTTTTCCAACCTATTTAGTTGCTTTTCTGAAAAAAGAGATTTGGAGCATTCAGGCTGGAAAGTCGGGATCCAGTTCTGGCCTTTGTTTATCAGGGTAAAAGAGTCAAAAAACGTAGTGCATAGTTTTCCTCATGTCAGTGGAAAAACCATGACATCTTCAAAAGAGAGTGCATCAACAAACGTTGGTGAGCTCTGCAGACAGCTCTGCCACATACCAAGGCAGCCCGTTTTCAAGTGGGATGAACACAGACACAAAGAGGCAAATTCAGGACACTGATGTTAGAAAAGACTAAAATACTTGTGCCAGTTTTTCATACCTTCTGTTTTGCATGTTCTTCTCTAGCATCTGTTCTTTGAATTGCACATTTGTTTGTGCAAGCTGACTATTTTACACACCTGCACAGCTCCAGAAAAACAAGTGGAAAACTCTTTGTGCTTGGTAGCTAAGATGAAGTACTTAAAGAATATGTTCCTTTCCAAATGAAATAAATGTTGAGCAGCACACTTATATTGGTTGCTTAGCAACAGGTTATCCTTTGGCTGTGCTGGGGACTGCACAGGTCCTCTGAGACTGCCATTACAGACCTGCTTGGAAATGTCAGATTTGGAAAGGATGCAAAAGTCAGTAATTCTATTTTTCGTGTGGTATCAAATAATTAAACCTCTCCTATTAAATTAGCCTGATCACAGAACTTAGTGCTCTTCTGGGACTGCAAAGAACACAGACTTCAATGGAAGTGGTATGGTTTCAGTCCTGCAGGGAATAGTAACAATGGGTATGGTTTGCCCTCTAATGAGTAATAAGGTTTTGCAGTTCCCACGTAGCACTTTCCATACATAGCTCTCAAGTGCTCTACAATGGGTGCTATTTTTGACAGGAATACATTAGTTTACCCAGCAAAGCTACACCAGGACATGTCCAGCTACAGGTACACCAGTAAAGTCCTTTACAAAGACGTATCCCAGGCAGTGGGTGGCATTGTGATTTCCTGTTCTTAAATGCCATGTACCAAACACTCCAGTGTGACTGCTGAAGGTCCTGATGGCTCGGATGGCCAGCTGGATTGCAATGTCAGTGTTTCATTTATACACACTTATACAGTGCAATAGAAAAGGGACACACAGCTCCAATCTTAGAGCCAGCTAAATCAGCTCAAGGTGGCAGCAGTGCAGGTGTACTCATCATTAAATACTTAAGATTTAAGTTAAGATTAAGGTTATTAAAAAACCTTTGCAGAAACAACTGTAGAAGCTGATGCGGCTCTGTGTCTTGAGTCAGTTTAGCCTTGCAGAGAAGTTGGGCTTTTTAGCTCAGATGACACTGAGCTGATGCAGATGACACTGTGCTGATGCTCAGATGACACTGTGCTGATGCATCTCTGATGCTTCCAAGATCTAAACTATTAACTTTGCATAGTGAAGCTTCATGGTTGCACAAGCTCGGGGTGATGCTGCTCACCATGCGGTCTCCTCTTAGAGCTGCCACAGCCTCCTCAGTTGTGTCACTAAAATTGATAGTGTGAAGGTGTCCAAGCTTGCTAACGCCTTTGGCAGCTCTGCCCTGCTCTGTGACTCCAGCCTAGCAAGGGTTCTGATGAATCACACAGTGGTGAAAGCAAACAGAAAGTCCTCTGCCAAATTCCTGACCATTACTGTGTTCTCCGCTGCCTAAGTTAAGCCCCAATAAATCCTCATTTATTTTGAGGTTTCTAGAAAATATTATATTGTTGAAATTCAACTAACATCCTAAGTCTAAAGAAAAATATATGGCTATCTTTCAAATAGCATAATTATTTTCTTAATACACTACAATTGCAAATTTACAATTGCCACGCATTTAGCTTGCATAGAAATGTTCTATCAAAAATGTTAATTAAATAGATATTTTCTAAAATATCAGTATAAGAAAAAGAAAACTTTAATTTTTTTCCCATGTGTAGACACAAATAAAAAATACTCTATTTGAGCATGTTTCAGGCCAAGAGTCACTCCTGTGCAGTGGGAGCAACCAGACAGATAACAGCAGCAAAAACACGGGCCAAAAAGGACAGAAGGAATGAAGCTTACAGATACTGATGTCAAAAAGTCTTAATTTTTTAGTCAATACCCCATGGTAACATCTGAAATGGTTTCAATTATTTAGAAGGCTAGTCCAAATGTCTTAACAACTTTTTTCCTGCTTGCTAGATAGTCAAATCCCCACTTTCCTCTCCTTGAAGAGGACTTTCTGTGCCACTCTTTGGGAGCATCTGAATTTTGGGGATAAGAATGCTCTTCTCCAAGTCTTTACTGCTTCAGAAAGGAAGGCAAGGAACCAACAGAAAGACCCAGAGCATTTGAATTTTTTCAGCTGCTTCAACAAATTCCTGCACCTGCCACTAGAACTCTG